GGTCGATAAATATCTTTAAATAATGTTTAATGATTCCAAAGATGTCGTTATCAAACTGTGGTTAAATATAAACATAAATACACATCGTTGCTGAATTGTCTATTCTGTAAAATAACTTTTCATATCAGCAAACACATCAAACTAATTGTCCAAACAATAAATCAGTCGGACGATATTTAGAATGCGTGGTAGATAATTAGCAGTGTGGTATAAAATGAGAGAAACTCTGTGGCTCAGCAGTCGAGCGTCTCGTTAAAGCGTCTCAGCAGCAGAGTGAAACATCCTCACACTCTCTTCCTTCAAACCTCAGTCTGCTCTTCTTCTCCTCCTCCTCCTCCTCCTCTTCTTCACCTACCCTTCTACCACTCTGTTCACTACGGGGGGAGGAGGGGGAGGGGCAGTGGGGGGGAGGGGGAGGGGGTGTGTGCTCTGCCAAGAAGCCGGGTTTTTGCATCATTCCAGTTTTGACCTGATGGAAGTCAGTCAGAGCTCACCATAGTTCTGAGCTCCCGGAAAACCTGACGGCTTACAACAAATCCTGAGCGGGACAAAACCCTTCCTGTTCCTGTGTTAGCCTACAAGCCAAAACAGAGGGTAAGAGGGTACAGTTAACCAGGATCGTGGCCGTCCCACCTGCACACACAGGCTGTGATGTCACAGGGGAGGGTAGCGGGGGGCGGAGCATGGAGGGACACCACCTTCAGATCCTCACACAGTAAAAATTCGTATTTAACTTTACAGAACTTGGTTATTTTCCTTTTCCACGTGACGCCAGATTCACCAAAAACACGGTGAGACAAAACCAACGGGGATGAACTTCAGAGGGAAACAAGTCGACAAAATAAAACACGCTCCAGAGGATGAGGTCTACTGATGCCACCTACAGGACAAACTTCACATTTCTGTTGGTTTTTAAATGTGTACTGATCATTTCAGCCTCAAGAGGGTGCTAGCGAGTCTTTAAACATTTAGTCTTTTAAAACACTGATGACCACGAATATAAAGACCGCGTTGGATTCTTTGACAGAAACGCTGCTCGTTCACTTTTAACATGTTGACGTCATGTGTTGCAGAATTGCATTGTGGTAAACAAGTGGCAAAGGAGGCAACAGCCAATCAGATCACTGTAAATATGATCAAGTGTGACATCAAACTTCAGAATGACCGTCTCCTGTACTTCCCATTAGCTTGGACAGTTAGCATGGCACATTAGCATGTTGTGTATACAGAGCAGGACGCTGTGATTGGCTGTTGTCGTTATGGCGACCCTGTCGAACCCAGCGTTAAAACACAACCACGGGGGAATTCTGCGTTTGAAACGTTCGAGCTGGTTTCCAACATCGTTGTCTGACAGAAGAAGAGAAATAACATATAAGTTAATAATTACGTTTTCTGGCTTTTCAGTTCTGTAGTGACGTGTTTAGATCATTTACAACTAAACGTAAAGTAGCTCTACACTTGAAAACCTCCAGACTTCAGCATCAGCATCAAACGTGGAAGAAAAGTTGAGAACTGAACTTTAAACTGAGCTGAAGGAGCAGCTGATCTGACGTCACATGGAAAAGGAGAATAAGAACCACAGGAACAGTTTCCTAGTTTCAT